TTAACGTATGATAAGCCTCTTTAAAAGTGAAGCTCTTGGGAGCGATCATACTATAAGTGATCGGATCGACAAACATAAACAATAACATAGAGCCCTCGTCTTGAGCCGTACCTATCATTAAGTTGAGCTCTTTCTTGAATTCACCGCTTTCTAGCATTTTATGCGGTGTTTTTGGGAAGAATAGGCCGTCGACCACAAAGAGTGGCGCGAAGTCTATCTTATTGTGTGATGGGATGAGTGGACCGAATGGTAATGCTGTCAACCTATCGATCGGCACTTTTCGCATACAATCCATAATCACTGGCGTAAACGTGGCGTCACTTCCGGTCGCGCAACCCATTTGTTGCGATAGTTTTAACCAAAATGGCATCGACTGCTCCGGCGGTGCGACCGCGCCGTTCATCACTATGGATCCGGACATCATTACAGCGTTTTGAAACAAATGCCTACCCATTGGCGATAATATGAGTCCACTAACTATAGCGCTGCCGGCGCTCACACCTAATATTGTCACTCTATTGGGATCGCCGCCAAACTGTGCAATATTTTGCTGCACCCATAACAGGGCTAATGTCGAGTCCCAGAAGAGTTGATTTCCAGGCGCTTCATCTGTTCCCGAGTATAGCATCGCCACCGCACCCAACCTTTTGGCCACAAAAACATCGGCTTCAATATTGACTTCTACTCCACATATAACTTACCTGTAATTTAACGAAACAATAATGACATCCCCTCTGGTGGACAACACGTATGGATTATAAAACACACTACTGGAAGAGTCGAGGATGAAGGCCCCGCCGTGAAACACCACCAACACTGGCCTCAGCTCTGGGCCCCGATTTTTAAGGTTAGGCGAGAATACGTTGAGATATAGACAATCTTCGCTGACATTCTTGTTTTGAGACATTTGTAAAAGTAATGCCGATTAAAGGTTTGGTCCACTTCTTCGCCGGCACTGGTCTTCGGAAGCGGAGGTCACCGACCGGTGGCTCCGCGTATGGAATACCCAAATATGTGTCCACTTCTGTGCCGTTGAAT